GCGTCCTTGTACTGCTTACATTGTACCAGTAAATGTGGTGTAGTCTTAAAAAAGGAGATTTGGGCGAAAATGCATTCTGCAAAACTTGAGTAGATTTGGTCTCGGTCCTGCTTAACCATCTCCTCAAAAACAAGCCAGAATTGCTAATCCGGGTTGAAACAATGCGTATGTTTTAGAATGTTGCTAAAAATAATGCAATCACAACTTATCACAACTTAGCGCTTCTTCGATGTAAGCTGCAAAATGATCCCGAGGAAGCTGTCATCGCGTCCTGCGGCAGCTTTGTCCACAGAATCGATCCCGAAAAACAATTACCACGACCTCCCCAGCCGCGGCAGCGAGGGCCATAGGCGTGACCCTGGGAAACACCCACCGCGACGTCGGTGCCACGGGGCGTTTCTTTCGCCGTCTTCCTTCGCCAGAATTTCGTTCGCATCATCCGGTTGGTCTTGTTCGAGATGACGGTAAGACTTGCAGCGAGGCCAACGTTGTGAGCCGCGGTAGCAGCCTCCGTCACCACGGTGCAACCAGGCGTGGTTTTCACCGCTCTTCGTCACAACATCATCCTCGGGCACAGCCATCCCCAATGGTGCAGGAGGCTTTTTGTCATTCGAAAGGCGACACAAACGGTGTTCTCCTACTTCCCAAGTAGCACGGTACATGTACACCATCGTCGTGTAAGCCAAGGTCGATGAGCTCACAACACCATAACTTGACGGTACCTTTCGTATCATCAGCGCTCAATCCGTCCGTGGAAGGCATGATGTAGACAGCTCTTATCGCCATGACCAGAAGTACCAGAAGCGATGACCCCTTCATCTCCACGTCGACTGTTCTACGACTTGCTGTCTCTCAGGTAAATAGTAAAATGAGAAGGATCGAGGCAACAAGGTGCTGATCGTCTTTCCTGGCAAGCCAAAACGCCTTGTGTACGCTGTCTATTTACTACCAGAAGTAGGCGCCTGCGCGGAAGATTTCTTCTTGCAGTCTATCTTCAGATAACCTGGACAGTGACAGTGGGAGTAGCAGATAAGTTACTAGTAGTTCGCGCAGTAGACTGAAGCGTAATGGTCTCGCGGACAAGCAGGAAGTCTGAGGAGCTCGACTTGCTTGGAAAGACAGCAAAAGCTAGAATGAATTCATTGTTAAATCTTTCCTCTCCGCGTAGGCTTTCATACGCAACGTGCCATGCACGAGGAAGAAAACAGTTGGACAT